GACGTTTTAGTTGTGCTGGTGTGCGTAATAAGGCCTTTTGGTTTGTGTGTCTTTTTTGACAGTCCTTTTCTAGTACTGGTTGTTCGGTCTTGGGGGGCGTTTTAAAACTTATATTGCTAACTAATGGTGTCACATGACTGGGTCCGGGATCTGCGTCATCGTTTTATTCTAGTTGGACGTTGTTACTTTGTTGTGCCTCCCTTGTTTTATTCTGCCCAGCAGCCCTAACTGCTTTTGAATTTGCGCGTTTTATGTTCTGAGAACCAGAATCAGAGGTACTTGCTAGAGGTCCTCCTACGGGGGCTGTGGCTTTATCAGTTTGTTTATTCTGGTCTGTGCGCTTCTTTCTATTAGCGCCAAAAATGGAGGCAGTAGCTAGAGGTTCAGCTGAAGGACCGTGGAGCTGATTATCGGATTTGTAACTGGTGTCTTTTTCCTGAAGTTTGCGTCTTTGCATGGGTGTCAATTCTGGGCCTATAAATGAGTTTAGGTTCCGCAGATTTCTGTTCAGTCTGGGGTTTTGTAGGACAATCTCAGCTTCGGTCTGTGAATAGAAGGTTACTAAGACGGGTTTGTTTTTGCTTCTGGAGTGAAGTCTTTTAGTGGTAGCTACTCGAATGTTTAGGCCGCACGAATTTATAAGTTTTTGAATTGATGGTGCTGGGTTAACCGTGTGGAGTATATTGCGGATAATCAAATTGAGTCTGCGTTTTGATCGAACCGCGACTTCTGATGAAACCAAATGTATAATTGATTATATTTGTGGTAGACTCGTTAGGCTGTTCGTGAATGTATTTGAGTCTGTTAATGAGTCGGGAATGGTAAAAATGTGTTCATGTTTCTCGATAAACTTCTGTAAACGCACGATGACCGAAAGATCTACTTTGTCGACAGTAAAAGTAACATCGGTCATGATTAATTTGGAAGAGTGTAAATGTATTTATGTGATTTTCGACAGCTAATAAAAATTGGTTGAAAGTTGACGCAGAAATATGTCAAATATTTCAATTATAACCAAATTTCAACTTATCCCGGATCTGACGATTTCGAACGAGGCCACGGACGAAAGGATGAAGAGTTGATGTGCACAGCGTGACTGACGCAGTAAAGCTGTTCGCTCCTATCCCGTCTGTCTTCTATTCCGCACAGAACTGGCATCATATTAATTGAGGATATAACAGGAAGTTTAGGTCTAAAATGTGTCCGCCATGTTTTGAATTAAATTAAGTGTATGTTCAAGAACAAACGACTAGACGAATAAATCGACTATGTAGAAAATTACTCGTAAAGCGTCGCGATGAAAGCGATGAAGCGTCGGGCAATTTAACTCACATAAATACACAACGACTCATCCTCTCAGACGGTCTTGGGAATCCTATAGCAGACGACAAGTTAACTTTTGACAAATTCAATGTTTGTTTGTTCAAAAATATTGTTGGAAATTCAACCGTTCCATTTCCGAACACCCAGGTTTGGACCGGTGTCGTTCTCGAAATCATAAATTGTACCCTTTGGGACCTAACCGAAGCAGTTTGACGATTTCGGCAATTTCATAGTTCCGGCACAGATAGTGTTGCAATCAGCTTCTTATAGACCGACAAAAATAAGCTATTCCTGCCCATCTTTTGTAAAATATTTAACCTTGCTCTCGAAATTGAAATCTTTGCAACTTCAGGGAAGGGATTAAGTACATTTCTTATCCCTAATCACGGTCGCTCTACATCATTTGATGACTATAGACCAACAAATATCTTCCCAACTATGTCAACTATCCTGCAGATTTTAATCGAAAATCGTGCGTAACTTGTCCGTGAATAACCTGCTGAGAGCAGCTTGGCATGGATTCTTCAAAGTTTGGTCTTGCGACACCCACCATATCTCCTTCTCTGATCGTGTGTTAGAATGGTCGGACGGCAGCTGCGCACCTTACAAAGTTTATTTCGATGCATCCATGGGTTTTAATCGTGTTTATTATTCTCTCCTTCTCCTAAAGCCTTTATCTTTCAGTATACTTCTGATATTCATACCCTAATACACGGGCTCTTGCACAAAGTATGTTAGGATTTCCAGCATTATCCCCAAGCACACATGTAGGAGCAACGGAGATATTTAGGGTACCAGTACTGAACCGTGGGGAATTTCACTCACGACCACACCAGAATCTGATTTACGCTGACCGATGCACACGACATAATATCTACCCACAAAAATATTTTCGATCCGTTTGTGGAAGTTACCGCTGATCTCTATTCTTTACATCCTCAATAACATTCTTTGGCGTAAAAAAATGTCAAAGGACTTTGAAAGCCAAGAGAAGCGGTGTAAACCGCGCGCCTGTCTTCGAGAGCTCGGGTCTAGTTCCGGACGTATTGCAGCAAATTTGATGTGAGAGACCTGCCTTTCCAGAAAGCCTGTTGCTAATTCGATAGTAAGTTGTGGACGTCTAGGATTTGCACCAATTCGCTCTTCAGGAGCCCCTCAATAACTTTGCTAAGAATGTATTTCAAGCTAATGATCCAGCAGTTTTCCGCCGAGGCCTGGTTACCGTATATGCGAAGGGGAGTTATATGTGTCAGTCGTAGATTGGGTTGCCCGCGTTATCAAAGGCACCACATGTGCACGGCGCTGTATTACATGCTAGTCAGCCCTCTAACTTCACGCGCGTATTATGCTGCCGGTCTGGCCAATTGTTCAGCGCGCGGCCGAGTTCCCATTTCGCCTTTGGCCATGATTCCACGCCGCTTTCGCCACCCATGACATCTCCCGCCTTAAAAGTTCGACCACATGCCTCTTCTTTTTCGGGTCCAAAACCAGCTTCGTGACGAATGCGTACTTCTGTTGTTTCTACGAATAACAGGTAATGTAGGCTTATTGTTCACCCTGGTGGTCGGTACCTCAAAGGAGTCACGCAGCAGATCGAGCGTGAACTGAGTGTCTGTGGTAAATCTAGACCTCAGCTGGTTTGCAGGCCTTTTGATTTTTTTCAACTGGTGTCTCCACCTGGGGCACAATGCCCCTGGGTTTTCTTGTTATACCCTCTATCCAAGACTTGTCTCTGGCCTTGTAATTGCGAGAAAACAACTCTAATTTCTCCCGAAAGTAGCTTTTTGCCGTTTGGTTAACTCGAATGTCTGGTTGTAGGTACTGTATTCGTATATCCGACTGTCGTCCAAAAACCGGCCCCCCTTAACTCACTTTTCAAAGTCATCCTATAAGCAATAAGGAACATTCTGAGGCATTCCAGTTTAACGCCACTGCTCTAACCTTCCCCAGTGCTCTCTTAAAATTGTCGACAAAACGTTCTGCCTAGTCATTTGATTGTGGGCGGAATGGTGCTGGCGTCACATGTCGGATCCCCCATTTCCGGCACAATTGTTGGAAAAGTATTGACGTGAACTGAGTGCCGTTGCCCGTCACAGTCTTTGTGGGATGCCTTTCTTGTTATGAGTTCTTTCGTATCATTGTCGTGATATCAGCAGTGGCTAACGCGACGTCGAAATGCTCCAGCCACTTTGATCATGCATCGACAACTATTGGAAACATTCGTTTCAAGAACGGTCCAGCGAAGTCCATATGGAATATACCCCAAGGTCTCGTCACCTCCGGCCATGGCACGGGCGGCAATCCTTGTGGGTTCTAAGCCCTCCGTCCACATGGACCGCAGTTTCGAACGAAAGATTCCGCGTCGTTTTTTAATCCCCGTCCAATATATGTGCCTTCAAGCCAGTTGTTTCTTGCGGGTTATAGCATGATGTCCGGCGTGGAGCTCCAGCAGAACTTATTGCTGGTGTCTGGCTGGGATAACCACCTTACTATCATGCATTCGGCAGTCATCAGTGATATACAATTGTCTCTTTCTGTTCCGGAAGGGCATTATTGATGGTGATACTTTATCGTGAACCTGCCAACCGTTCGAATAAATTCCGTCACCTTACACAAGAAGGAACCTGTTGTAGTGGTGATCCTGATAGTTCGGCTGTGAGGGGTAACTACCGGATGACACGTCAAAACCCGTCCTCATCTTGTATTAATGTGCTGGTGACCACAGCGTCTTCTTGATTCTGTTGCCCGTTATCAGTCGTGGTAAGGCGTCCGGAGTTCTGAACTACTGAGTGAATACATACTGGACCGTAAAGTCATAGTTTTCAAGAGTCGTACCTCAGCGTCATATTCACCCAGCTATGTTCTGGGGAACACCACGGTTACTACTTAAAAGGAGCTTCTGCAGTTGATGATCAAGGTGTAGTGTGAAAGGTCTGTCACAAATAAACAAGTAAAATCTCTGCACGGCGGGGGGAGGGGATGGGGGTAACAGTCAGTGCCTCCTCTTCGATCTGGCTCAATTTCGTTCTGCCTTCGTCAGTGACCTTGCAGATGCATGATTGTTGGATTCTCCCATTTGCGTCCTTCTGAAGGAGCACTCTGCCTGAACAGTAATCAGAACGTCTGCACGCTAATAAATTAATCCACGAAATTTTTTTTGAAGTGAACTTCTATGTATTAACCAAAGGTCAGTGTTATGTGTTCTTATATTTAGTTCTCCCTCAATTTATCCATATTCTCTTAAAAAAAGATATTTTGTTCCAATATCAGCATATTTTGCTGCGTCCCAATATCTTTCTGATTTTTCTTAATTTTTTATCCCTGTCAATTTTTCATCGTTGGTTTGTTTACTTTTACGTATGAAGTCTATTTGCTTCGTTTCATTTATATTGTTTTTCAAAGTGTAACTCTGGTTATTTGTCTTACGCCGCCATCATTATCTTCTGCGTTTTTTCTAGTACTTAACTACCATCACCCACTTCCATTTCCGAAATATTACAGAGAACAACTTTGTGTTGCACTCTAGTTTCTTTATGCTGCTTGCTTTTTACCGCGTTCATATCTGCGTAATCTGAATGTAGTGTTTCTTTGAGCCGTATATGTCGCACAATTTTGGTTTAAGCTTTGGTTATTAACTTCTGCAGCTTATTTCCGCCACAGAAAACATATTGTCCGAAATGAGCAGTATCAGATCAAAATTTGGCCACGTAAGTCCCTGTTATTTTACATACTTGCCCACTGAAATATGCACTCATTGAAGAGTTGCGCGTTAGATGCATTTTTAATAAACACTCGTTCTGTTCGACGTTGATAAGTGTGTTTTGCTCATACGTCAGTTAAGTCTCTAATCGAGTAATTTGTTAAATTCCATCGTAATACTTTTACTTTTAACTAACACGGAATGACCTGTCTGTCTTTTTATGTGGATCGGTTCGTTTGAAGCCTTTAAATTATTATATATGGCGATATCCTCCTGCTATAGCAAGTAGTATCAAATGATATTTATACATACAGGACGGTGTTCATGTTATCTAGTCATGCCTGATAGAATACCGATCTCCCTGGAGCTACATGGGGTTTAAGGCGGGGACGCTGACAACGGTCAGGATTGTTTTCCCTCAAAACTGAAATTGTCAGCAAAGAAACACGAATTTGACTTTTCAATCACTTTGATAGAATTTTGAATTTTTTAAAACCCCTTTGATCTTCTCAGACACTTTGTTAATTTACCAACCAGGCCAAACAACAAAGCTAACAAAATGCTTTTTATTATTACTTACAGTCTGACAAGAAGTCGAAACCCTCGGTTTCATCGAACGATGGAAAACAGGCAAGTTTTGAAAATGTGGAATAGGTTTCAGGCAGTGATGTTACCTGTTTATTTTGTCTTTCTTCTGTACATATGGAGTGTTTCATATATGTAGGATACTGAAAACAAGGGGTGTGTGAAGCTCTGCAAGCTTAATATGTAACCTTTAAGGTCTCGTCAGTAACGAAGAGTTTGCGCCTATTCTAGCATTAGGAAAAATACGTGTGCTGTTACGAATATAATAAGACTGAGCGAAAGTATTCGACCTCTATTGTGACCAGCCAGACAAACAAGCTGGTGTGTTTGCACTAAGCCAGTTTGTCAGCTGATGTGAAGTCGACTTATACTTTCAGTTTTTAGGCCTGTTTTGGCTACTAAGCGCGTAGTACTAGTTGCTTGTAAAGCATTTTTCGGTCGCAGTGTAACTGTCAGCTTAGTTTGATTGTTGCTTTCTTAATTCTGCCGTTCTGAAAACTGAAACCAGCTCGCCGCTCATGTCGCGGATATCTGAGTGTAGTTCTTAGTCGCACGACAAAAAGTGCATCAGATTCTCTTAACGGGGCAGGCTTGTGCTTCCCACGTATCTTTACGAACTCCTATTTGCGTAAGAAATTTTAATAGGTTTGCCGCATTATTCACAAGAGTCCTTGAGGGTAAGTTCGCACAGTCGTCTGGATGTATTTACCGTCAGCATGTACATATATTTGGTTTGGTTTGAAATGTGTAGCATATAGACGATCAAGTTTCAACGCGCATTTCGAAATTGCGAAACGTCGCAGCATAAACTCCATTTGCTTTGTTCATCAGTTTTCTCTGCAGACCCTTGTGCTACTGTGACAACGCCTAGACCATTTCAAACCGTAGCTAGCTGACAGACGTTTCCTTTAACGGACTTACGCTTCTAAAAACACTAAGACGAATACGCTTTTTAAAAAACATAAGAAAACTCACGGACATGTTTTTTCGTTGGGAAGAACATTATAGCATGCATATCGTATTTGTATGAACACAGCATAGCGTGCCTACACAGTTCCGAAAAACCACTTCAAGTGCTGCTGTGTGGTATCATAATTTTTTAACCGGCCTATCATTTGTGGAAAAAGGTGAATACGAAGTCTGAGTGCTTTATTCCTTTATATACTGCACATTTTTAGATAATAGTTTAGATAATAGAAAGTAATCTATAAACCAGTATTAGTTTTTTCCTTCATAATACGAGGCCATTTCTGGATATATTTAAGACTCCAAACAGCAAAGTGTATAGTTGCTTAATTGAACCGCCTGCATTTCGACAAGTGACATAGTGACGTAAAAGAAATTGGCTGCTCAAAATGCCTCTGACAGTTTTCTTATAAAAATTAATATTTCGTATGTTACAGAGTCTGGATGCCTACAGAAGCTTTTTTGACCATTACGAATCCAAAATGATGACTATGCTGCAACCCAGTATACAAAGTCGAGCAAGGGTGGCATTAAAAAATATCGGGACAAAGCCTGCGAAGCCTGGGGAGTACCATTACGAGGAATCAAGATTCCATAAGTTCCTTTCCAAACTAGCTAACAGACTCACCGGTGCATTTGGTAACTGCTTCCTGTTTATGCTCTCTTATGTAGGGTTTTAATATTTCCAGTACTTTCCTACTAGTTAAAGAGAATTTGATCGAGCGTAAGCCAATGTAAGAAGGTTCAAGAGCGTTCTGTAAAGTAGTTGTGCATTTGTCCGCCAACGCCATGATTTATACCCATTGTTACTTTGGTCTGCGTATACTTTCACGTAAATCTACAAAGGATTTAATAATTTACGACCTTTAGTTTTATAAGCCTAGATGAAACTAATTCCACTGCTCGATGCATTTGCATATCATTAAAGAAAAGTCTGTAGGGTACAAAAATGAAAACTCGTTAAGATTAGCATGTCTTGCCTTTTTTAAAAGAGGCCACAGTTCTTCAGGGTTCTTAAACTGCAAAGAAAGGGCTTATTCTTAGTATTATTTGGGCACTCTCTAATCGTCTAAAATGCGCACTTTTTAAATCGGGATTGCAAACAGAATGCCTGACCAGATCAGCGTACATCAATTCACTTTTTGTTAAGGACGTAACCTGCATAAAATAACAGTGGTTTTCCATTGGGACTTTTAGTCGAACTCGACCAACTACGTCCAAGCATCCACTGTATTTACTAACTTCAAATGCCTTCCAACCACACAACACACAATACGACCGAATCCACAGAAACCGCAAGACGAATGTTGCCGTAAAGTTAGATTTGAAAATATTTCTACCGAAAAGAAAATTCATATCTTCTCCCCGGGATAACTGCCTTAACGTTTCTACGACAACCATAAATCCTCTCTGCCCGCCGTCGGTTTTACACTGTGGACTTTTCATTAAACAACTCGATTAATAAAAAATAGTCGTTGATAATTTATTCATGGAAGATTGCGTTTGGATAAGTGCATTACCTAAACTGATGGACATGCTTCATTTGGAATCCCCTCACATAATATGAAAATAACCCAACGATAGGCAGCTTTATAACTTATATGCATAAAAGATTAGATGACAATGACCGTAATACCCTAGTTTGTCACTAACTACTGCACAGCTTTGGCTCGCGGTTCTTAATTTCATGCATTACCGCAGTCTGTCACCACGTGCCATAACACACGTCTTAATATGCAGATAAATTGTTTCGAACAGGGCTTCAGTTATCTGCTTTTATGGAAAAACTCCCAAGGAATGTCCGCTTAATTTGACTTCAGAGATGAAGGAGATTTTTGAGCCGCATTGGTTTCCCATATCGAAGAGAGCAAGGAGTCAGCATTTTGGGCACGGAAGGCCTTCAAAAAAGTTCGCACTCGTATCCCAATTGGTTCTAGTGATTTCTGATGCAGTGGTTTGTACGGTGTTTCTGCGAATTAGCGTATTCCACTCAGGTGTCCAGGGGTTTATTTCCGATGCCACCCTCTTTTAATAGTTCTGTTTACTTCTCTTCACAAGGCCCTTGTTTAATGATTCAATCAAGACTTCCGGTGTTGTCTCTTGGAATGCTTCTCTTTGCATAACCGAAAGCATACTGTCCGTATGTTTTGCCTTACGAAGTACTTTACAGTAGACCAATCGTGCATTCTCTTGAATTTTGAATGTCTTTGAAGTTATCCCGAGAAATTAGTCATATCCTGATGAAAACCTAACAACCAAGCGATTTAAGACTGAGCTAAGGCAATACCATCTAATGAAGACATACTATTTATTTTGCCTTGCGCTATTGCTCTCCTAAGGTTTCTCCCTCCTAATTACATAATTTCACGCAACCGACTTTGCGGCAAGACACCCTCGTGCGTTTACCATGCGACGAAAATTCGGTTTTTAGAAATAAGACTGATTCTTGCGTTATCTTGTGATATAAGTAAATATTTCGCCTTTTATTACTCCGATGGTCCTTAATTATAATATTGCACGGTTGCCACTTTACTTGTTCTCTCCACTTCTGCCTACACTTTATGATTTTTATCGTCTTACCTTGCTTGGTAATATACTTTTGGGAAAATCGACGTTTGGTTTCACTAAGTTTAGTCAGAGCACTAAAAATAGTTTGAGCTCATCGGTTCCGGTAGCGAAGACATTGCGTACCTCTACCCTAAACGGCAGAACAGTCGTGATAGACTTCGGCTATTTAGACTGATGGTTTAAGATGATAAGGACTGAACTCCATCAGGACCTCTTTCCCCCCCCCCTCCACCCCACAGAATTCCGATTTCTAAAGTGTTCTCTCGGCAAGTTCGGACAGCGGTAGTGCACATGTATTCCCATGTCTATTTAAAAGCACGCCCTTTCTATGGTTGTTGCCCTTCACCTATTAACTGATGTCCTTATTCGAGTCTAGCCAAGTACAAGGCGAATGAATGAACATTTTTTGGTGAAAAAAATCGGTTAGCAATTCAAGCGTGAAGATTAGTTCCAAAAGGTGGATTTTTGAGTAATTTGTTTAAGTCCTTCAGTGGAGTGTTTGCACAAGAAATTTTTAGCAAACAGAAAGTAGGCTGCTACATATCAGCAAACCTAAATTAAAAAAGCTATTAATCTTGCTAAGTTCAGTTTTTTCGAGCGAGAGTATTCAACCAGCATGCTCCAGCTGTTAGACAAAGTCTACTAATTTCAGTCGGAATGTAAGTTACCTTATACAGTGAGAACTAACCAAGGACTCGCGTTTGACATTATTTTCTGGACTACCTTCATCTATCGCGTCTAACGGAAATCGTCCTTTTTGCCAGCTGAACAACTTGTAGACCTTAATTTTGAATAATTATATGAAAGTTGTTGTTCAAACTGACTGTCTTCTTCCTTGCACTTCCCTCTCTTTGTCATTTTTGTTCCGGAGACTAGGTAAATTTTCAAACAACTCTTCAGAAGTAACTTATCACCAGCCCAATTTTCTCGTTTCAGGTGATGCCCTCAGGTCGATGTCCTCCACATACCAGCAAGTGGAGGACTCTAAGATATCGCGTGAAACGGAGCTAAAAAACCAAGTCTTCAATCAAAACATGCGAGAAGTAGCCAGAGATTTGGAGAACCTATCGGTAGGTATTGAGGATTGGTCCTGATTGCCAAATGCAAAAATATATTTTGGGTAGTACATGGAAGAGTGATATAGTCTTTATGATGCTATAAAAATTCTTTGGATAATGTTTTTATTGTGACTGTAAATAAGTTCATAATGTGAGAAGGCTTTCAAAATCAGTAGGCAGACACCATCCTATCATTAGCAAGTTGAATTCACCTTTTTGAAATTGGAGCTGATGCAATATCAATGTCAAGATGAAACTTTAAAATCATAACTGCCCAGATATTTTCCAAGATTGGTGCCTCAATTTGAAAGAAAAGGAAATTTACTTGGAATTCATGTGGTGTTAGCTAAATGCTAACTACACAGTAATAAGAGTAAATGGACTTCAGTCCGTTCGGAGGATAGCTTTTCGCATGTACACGGCAAGAAATTAGCCCCCTTTCAAAACTATAGCCGTTACCGGAGTCCTGGACAGGTTTTATTCTTTCAGTGTTGAGTTACTTAATTCATAAATCGACCTACTTATGGTATTACTCAGAAGAATGCAGCATTTACTAATTATCCTGACCAACTGGCTTGAGGTCGTCCGGTCTGTGTTCCTTAAAAGTGATCAAACTAGTTTTACGAAATCGACAGTTCAGTTGCTGAGCCCGAAAGGGACGAGAGTATGTCTGACACACTTTTCCGAACGTCTGGCGTCTCCAGCTAGTGGGAATACTTGACGTTGTCAAGACTTGTTGGACGCGACAACCTACAAACCATGCGTTTCTAATGTATGCCGCGGCCGATTCTTTCATAACTTAGTCCTATTGCATGGGACGTTCTGGTTGGTCTCGAAACTGACCATGTTAATGATAACATCCGAGCTGCAGCTGGAAAGTTCGCGGCGGCGTTGGATTGGCATCGCAAAACCGGACCTCAAAAGTCGACTGCTCAGTCCTCGCAGTACTTCCGCTTAGCCTGATCGTAACTCATTTGGATTTTGTAATGAACTTCTCTCTTGCCCCGCAGAGAGTAGGCCCACATATGCACAATCTTGACTAGACAGTAAACCTGTTCCAAAGACGTCATCCTTTCTGTTTTTCCTCCTGAGACTCGAAGAAAATATTTATTTTTCAGCAAATAAACCTTGCAGTGCTCACAGATTCCGGTCGAACACGTGCACCTTGGTGTGCAAACTTCCGCCAATTTTCCCCTTTGGGCGTTTACTTGCCACGCGGCAGACCCCACCCCCCCATCTTTGACAAGAACAATAAGGACGGGATTTTTGGCAATATGCACTTTGGTATATTTCTCGGTTCTTTTGAAGCCTCACTTAGCAAGAGCCTCAAATGTCTTGCATTCCGCTGTCTAATCATTTTCAAATCCTTTTTTTCGACATCATAGTAGTTTCACAAAAAGAATTTCCTGAAATTTATGGTAGGGCTTTCTTCATCTGCCTGAATTCGACTGGGCGCACCATTCATTTTCCTTCGCAGCGTGCCCTCTATTTTTGGACGTGCGAACTTGTACAATAAGTTACTGCAGCGAATATAATGGAACCCTATGTGTAAGGGAGATGGAATGACAAGGTTACTGTTGCCTGACACGAAGAAGCTGCTGGTGGTGAATAACTGGCAAGATTTAGACGTTGCTTCACCAAACGTGGCAGTGAGCTTAGATGCACACTCAGGAAATTATTTTTTCCAAAAGTTATTTTGTTTGAGGAGGGCTGTTTAAGGGAAACCAGGAGAATAACTCGCTGCACCGTCACTCAAAGTTCACTTTTGAGCATGTCGACTACACGGCCCCTTTGTAAGGCCAGCAAGAACCAAGGCTGACAAAAGATGAGTCAAAACAGTTGCATGTCAACAAGAACCAAGGGTCTTTTCTGGCGCCTACAACTACAAAGATTAGGCTGCAGCAAAAAAACATTGATGAAGAGCTAGGAGCTGAAAATATATTTCATTTGGACGATTTTTTGAGCTATCACGTGACGCATAAGCCGATGCTTAAAAGTGTTTTTAGTTGCCACAATTTGCACATTTAACATGCTGCTTACTAAGGAACCGTCTCATGTGCAAATACACATTTCTCTAAATGTCCTTTTGTTCCCTTGACCCTGCGGAGGCAAGATGCGAACATTATTCGCTTTCGGATTTCATTGTATAAACCTGCTCAGTCTGTGGTTACACCGTGAAAACACAGTGGCAACGATCCGTAGTGGTTGGTATTGATTCCTGACAGCGTTTATTTTGAAAGTGATCTGCTTACCGGGTTGCGTTACTTTCAATGTCGTAGTGGTTAGCACCAGAGGGAAAATCGGCTAAAGTGTACTTTGGATTGAGGTCGCACTTTTCTACTTTGGGTTATTTCCCGGTAGTGCCTCTTCTGGAATTCCTAATAATGACATCCTGTCTTAGAGTTGCCTTGCAAACCCTAATCCTTCTTCGATCCTTTGCGCTTAATCTCTTTTAAATACGACTTACAAACTCCATTGTATTCGACCTCGACGTTCATACTGCACCAATAGCTTTTTGATTTGACGATTTTTATAAATCCACCCTCCGTCTCGACTTTTGTTGCTCCCATGCGATGTTTCATGGAAACTAACAGTGATATGCGTATGATCAGACGTATATTTCGTATGCTGTCTACTGTTGACTTCACATTCCAGCGCTCTAAGTTAACGAGGCTATTTTCGGATTCAATTATCCAGGATGTGACTCACCCCTTTGAATTTAAAATACGAACTGTGAGGTCGCTCAGCCCGACCCCATATGATGTTTACCCTATTTCCTGTCGTACATTGGCTTATCAATAATCAGCCATGTCACATATGACCGGTGTTTTGACCTGCCGGACAGTCAAAATGCAAAAATTAAGATCGGCATTCTCACCTTAAAATCCACAATTTTTCCACGCCGGTACCAGTCTTTTTTCCCTTTTTTTGCTGTTCTCTTTGGGCCATGGTGTTTTGAGAACATTTTTGCTGAATGTCTTTATCAGTGAAAAGCTGGAGCATACGCACACTTCTTAAATCCGCGCAGCTTATGTTGAAAACTCGGGAACGGATATGCAGCAACTGAACAGCCGGATTTTTAGAACAAAAATAGCAATATTTGGAGGACACTACTCGTATACGAGAGCACCATATGCTTTAGATTTCTAAGAGGGCTTAAAGGTTTTTAAGATCAGATGTCTCCCAGCAGAATGCCAGCGTAGCTGAATGAGTCTACAGGATGCCAACTTAAAAACCGCGATTGTAACGCTTAATTCGTCCTTTACGTTGGTGGATAAGATGTTCAGTTAAGCAACCTACCCACCTCGACTAGTGCCTCAGAAAGTTTTGGTCGCATTATTGAAATTCGATCGAAGGCCGCTCTTGAATCGCGCACCGGACACTCCCATTCCATTGCTGAACTAATGCAGCCTGGTTTGAAGGAACTTTGCAAGCTGGCCTCACATGCTCTACCGATTAAATCCACTTATTGTGGTGCACTTTTTGGAAAATAAATCGCTGTACCCATCCGCGCATATCTCGTGTAGGGTATCCCCTTTTTATTCCTCTAGCATGCAGATTATGTGTTGGTTTTCAGGCATGGCTATTTTTAAACAACGTGACCTGGCGCGCACACAGTTCTTTAATATGGAAACATAAAACCATGCGGAAAGGGTTGGAGAAATAACTTAACTCGTTTCACCGTGTAACCAAAAATATTCATGTGGTTTTCTTAGAAGTTCGAAGCAGTGACCTTCTGAATCTGCTGAGACTTATGAGGCGGGTGTGCTTATGTGAATGACCATCTGATTCGAACACTGTGTCGCATCATCATTTCTTAGTCTGCGATCTTCCTCCCATTTTGGTATTTTTGTCGAATCAAGTGTAATTCGAACGTGTTTGTTTTATGAGTTTAAAGTTGAGTCAAAGTCTGTAGAAGCATGCCATATGAAATGCGTAGGATTTAGGGAAGATGGGGCAAAGGGACGGACTTCACAAAAGATTTCCCTCTGATGATGAATGCCTCGAAAGAGCTCCATGGCCAAGGCGATTCTTCGTTATTCATAATGAAGAGCTGTAGGACGTTGTTGTAAGAATTCGGGAAAACTTGTCAGGAACTTTCAAATGTTTAAATTGAGTGGGAACTACGAAGCCATGGAGTCAGAAAAAAATTAGTTCGTACTTTACTCGCAAATGAAACTTGGCTTCAAGAACTCGAAATTTGTTCCTTCTTTCCACCACATCCCAGAAACGCAACAGCTTTGATTGTTAGTTTATTTTCGACGGAAAATAGATCCTCCATCAAATGATTCAATAGTACTGTATCACGCTAATGCGATTACGATATGCGTCGGTAGTGGACTGTCGCCAGAATTGTCCGCTTGGAGATTCCCAACGAAAGCCAAATAATTATGGCTGAAACCTGCGCTATACAACCGGAGCATGTAGCGAATTCTTTGCTGTAGAAACAGCCATGACTATTTAGTCGGAGGAATGTTATTCTCGCAGGGCATTGCAGAACCTAGTGACAACTTGAGCTTTAGGATGGAAACTTCAACCCCAACCTTTATGCCACTCAACTATCATGACACCAACGCGCCTCTATGCATGGAGGATGGACTTACATCTATTCGGAATTTGACGTACTTTTAAAGATCAGCCATAAAATGCACATTGAGAGGATTCTGCGTAATGGGTGAATCGACACTACCAAATGAGCTGTCCTCGATTCGTACTCAGCGGCAGCTTGTATAGATGCCGAAATTCACACTAGAATTGGGCCACACTTAAGGAGCTTCCGATTCTATTTCCTAGCCTACGGGTAACGAAGTCGGGGAAAAGTGTGGTATTGCCGTGAGGGCGTAAACGATGGCCCCGTTGATGGTATTCTGTTCACCAAACTCGACGTCTGCCATTACTACTCAGGAGAGGTCAGCAGTGATCTGTACATCATGAATGTCTCTTTCTTCACCTCTGGCATATATCAGCGGGTAATGGCTACCGAACATGCCCAGGACATGTGAAAATCTTTCCTGCACGTGAAATTCTGGGGAAAAAACACCGCTTATTCATGTTTACAAAATCTGATGTAAAATTATTTTGCGTTTCGTTGAATCTAGTCTGAGACTTTGAACAAAGCAAGCAATGCTCCTTGATGCGAGAACTGATATTAACTGGTTGCCGCTTACCGGATGTTAGCATTTGACGTCTAGCAGATAGGTCAGCAGATTAGTCAGACCGAAAGCTCCATTAGTGCCTCTTCGAACTTAGATGTCAAGGGGCATGCGATACCTATTTACTCAGGGATGGGTGCATAGCCATTTAATTAGACTGCAAACCGACGAGCATCGAAACATATCATTGTTAATGTATTTCTAGTTCCAATGTTTTCCAGACAATTTCCCACTTTTCTCAGAGAACAAATCTGACGAAGGCAACTGTAGGGTAAACAACCCCAGTCAACTGTCGGTAGGCTGTGGATCGTGTACTGATATGTTTGCCTGCAAAATCTAGTCGAATACTGATGATTGGCAGTTGTACCCAAGAGCGGAGAGACGAAAAACGGAGATCAACTGAACATTAATTTTGGGATAGCAGAAATGTCTGCCAGGGGATAGGCACAGTTGGTTGATGGTCAGGCGCTCTTTCAAGATGGAACACAATGGGATATCCAGCTGGATACCGTATCCGCATATATTCCTCATGTTAGTCGAAAGAATCGTCCTTGCCACCGACCGTATTCATTGTGTTCCTGCATTCCGCCAACGTATTGCTTGACGTGCTGCCCCGCCCGTAAAACCTCCACATTATCACATTCCCTTGTGACACGATCCACAGTATAACGATAGCTAATTGGTGTCCTTTACCCTACCTTTGTCAAGTAGTCTTCTAAAGTGTTACCCAGACGTTTAAGTAAATTTCTTTGCCGAAAAGGAGAAACTTCTTACATTAATTTGTGCCGACTTTGCATTCATATTTTTCCCTTTCATTTGCAAAAAATTCACCAAGAATAAAAATTGCTGTTTTGGAAGTGTGATAAGTAATGCTTAACGGAGAAAGTTAATAAAATATAGGTACTCTCTCCCAAGTTTACAAGGATCTGAGTCATCGTAAAACCAAGTGCCTTTATTTATAACATCGTTTGTTTTGAAGAGGAAACATCCCGACCAAAAGTCGGCGCGCCAAAGTACCTGCAAGTCGCCTGATTGTGTTCATCGCACCCACGACATGGCGTGCGTCTACAGAATGCTTTCCAAAAGAGCGCAGACATTTCGAGAAGCGCTACTGACGACGCCAAATGAAATCGAGATAATAATTTCAGGCTTATTTTCCATCGTTAACCAAACACACTCCAACCCAATATGGGGACGACCTCACAACTCGAACCTATTGATTAATGAACATTAAGTCAAGCGTTCCAGCACCGAGCCCTGGGACAGGATCCTGTCGGCTGTGACCGAGAACATTCAAGGGTTCATGGGACGTCTCAGAAAATGGGCTTCTCAAGTGATTTGGAAAGTGTGCAGTGCTCGCTGGCGTGGTTGCTGCTTCGAAAAATATGTCAAGACCAGAATTTTATTTTCAAGACTGCATTTGATTGTTTCTCCTAGTAAATGTGAAAAAGGCCCCGTTTTATGGTATCACGGCCGAAAAAAGATCACTGACCACAAACAGTCGTCATTCACCATGCCCACTGACGGCTGACTTCGGCGTGAAATGCCTCCCAGCGACTAGATGAATCGGTGGAATGTCAACATAACACTGTATGCGCCTTTGAGTGAACTCACATTTTCTAGTTCCGTACTGTTGTCCAAAAATCAGTTAATTTATTAAACTGGTTAATAAAGGCGCTAAAGTACTCTGTTTGCTTACAAACTCTTGGCATATCCGAAGTAGTTTAGTCGCTTATTGGTTTTAAGGTATTCACCAAACAGCCCCTCACCAAGCACACCATTAAAACCTGTATGCGAGGTCAGCCAGTGAACGCCGTTTTTGAACAGGATCCGAACGTTAGGGCATACCAGCATGCTTCTGTCGGTGCCACACATTTCATAAAGCTATGGGTGATATGGCTTGAAGACGGTTTGAGGGGAAGAAAAACCTCTATAAATCCTCCAATGTCCTCCATTGGCTTAGTTGGAGTTTTGCGCGGTTGGTAATGTACACGTCAGGATCCTGCTAGGAACATGTGCTCCAATGTTTTCAGGACTATTTAGCTGCGAACCTCTGAAAGGGATGAATGGGTATAGGTAGCCACTTAATATGTGTGATTCTAAAAAAAATAATTTCACTGAAATGCATATTTGTCTTTAATAAATACCAGACAATAAAGAGTACTCCGAATGCAAAATATACTATTACTACCTTTTATCGGTTCCGCTACGCTGCTCTCATCTAGGTCTAAGATTGAGACTTTGCAAAAGTTAGTGTTGAAAGAAGCAAGCTCAGTAGACGCGGCTTCCAGTATTTCTGCTTTGAGTTATCTTCTTATGCCCACCGAGTTTTTCGGCCAGTGGGAATAGCACATCTCGGAGTTTTGTCAGCCGATTCGTGTCAGACCGCAAAAAACTGTTCCACGAAGCCTGCTTTTATTGTCTTATTTTATTTCAAAAGATAGCCTCTTGAACTCTGGTATGCTGCTTGGGTGAAGAAAAGAGGGTTTTGGACTGTGTAAATTCGTCCATATTATTTTTTGTCTTAAAATATGTAGTAATGTTGGTGTTTGTGCTTTTTCTCAACGATTAATCGATTCCCTGTTAATTTACCTCTTATTTAGAAACAAGAGAAAACTGTGGAGCAGCAAAAATCCAAACTGGCCTCTGCCCAAAAGCACACAGCGCAAACGGGTGAGTGTTTTCTCACAGCTGTGATCTACGGTTTGGCAGAAGTATGCACCTGTGTACTGGGCAGCAAACTGTTAGGTAAATACGATGATCCACGGTGTAGATGAATACTAGGAGAATTTCGTTTTGGTCCGGAATGTAGAATGTCGAAGGCAGATGTTGAGGTCAAGGCTTCTGGGTGGACTTGACGAATTGTTATTCAGACCGACGAACCTTGCGCCTTTTAGGTAGGCGTAAGCAACGCCACGTTGATTGTATTCTGTGCATAATCGTTTTTTCTCATAGAAAACTTGGCTTGGTGATATGACACGTAGCGTTTTTCCTGCACAGTCCAGTAACCAGCAACTCCAGCGTATGACCATGGTTCTATTAAGGACGTTTCTACGAACTCCCTGGGTAGGTTGAAGTGGGATTGAAGCATGGTAAAAGCAGCCTTTTAAACTAACAGTTGCGCGTTTGTCAGCGCAAATTGCTCCTTTGAATGAGTTGAATACGAAGAACAGTTTGAGAATCTAAGGATAGATTTTTGCCTCATATACATCGCCTCGGATCCGCGTTTCAAAGTGGTTCAGGAAGCAAGTTGGTGAGAATATATGAAACATGACGGAAACACTGTTTTTTCAACCATTATTAGTGGTAAGTCGAGACATTATTTTCCTGGGATTTTTTGAACACCATAGTGACGTGAGGACATGCAGAATCTAGTGACGTCATAAATTTTGTGACCTTATGTTCAACTGCTCAGAGTCATTGCTGATGAGACTTATAGGTGAGCGTGGCGCGTGGGTGAAAGTAAGTCACATGAGCAAGAAAGTTTTAGCTACAATTAAACCTTGTCAGGCACTATTAAGGCTCTACAGCATGGGCCATTAGTCAGTTTTACGGGGACGGGGTTGGGAAACGAGAGAGAGAGAGAATGAGGTTATTTCACTCACTGACTCCTACCATGGCGGGGCGAAGCGGGTCACATGACCCAACCGATTACTCTGTCTTGGTTTCATCTTTCGCACTGCTGCGGCTTCTAAACAGCATAGGAGACGCCCAGTCGTCGTTCGAATTACGACCTGAAACGCAGCTGTTGGATGCAACACTTCATTACTGTCTACTGGACGTTCCCTTATCGAACTTGTCGGTGCCTTATTGTCTGCTCTCAGCAAACATTTCGACACATGTTCAATTGGCCGAATTGTTAACTGCCTTTGCGTGCGCCCGACGCCCAGCTACATTTACTGGGTTTAGGTTTATTTTCAGTCAACTCATGAGCGCATCGGGTTAGCCCTCACATCCCAAACTTGTCTGTAATTATTTTTCAAAATTTTCGGCCAAGATTGGACATCCTTCTCACGCAGTTTTTGTTGTGGCCACATAACTCGGCCCAAACCGATGACTCTCGTGTGATCATTCCCATGCTGACGACCATAACATAGCCTTTCAGACCGAATGTCTATCTGCGAGGAGTGCAGTTTCTGGGCGTCACTTTATTCCGCTTTTGTGGTTTGTGGTAACTGCCGTCTTCCTGGTCCAGTCAGGGACAAAGGCTTGATAGGTCCGAATGTAAGTCGGAATGCTGCTGTATTGTTTCTGTGTCGATGAGCCACGTTTTCAAGGGGAGCCGTTTTGTTTGCACGGGGTCCCGACCGAAAATTATTGCACTGTCGAAATCGAAGCGGTGATCACGCTTTCCCAGGAACGTCAGAGTTTGCTACGATCTCTGTTGCCAGCTCCTATTCTTTTAATCCATTCCTAGGATTTTGTTCGTTCTTAAGGTGTCTGCAGGCATTGGCACCTGCAGTTCAACCTGCATAATATCACGAAATTCACTCTGTAAAGGCGAAAACCCATAACTTGTATCCATCTGCGGCTGATCGTTCTACGTTGTTGATGAACTACCCCTCCGCCGTCCAGTGATTGCAGGGGTTGATAGGCCAGACCAAAAATCAAATAAATGCAGGTGACAGCTCAACACGCCTTAGACCGCCCTTTTATTTTTGGGACATCTTGCCGCGTTTTTACGTTCGAAAAAGCGGCTCTATTATTCATTCGTCATGGTAGTTGTTATTAGTCAGTTTATTCATCCTCCACTGCTTTTTATTACCTTCACTTCCTCATGTAGATTGAGATGTAACCTGGCTTGTGCAAATGGGTATGACTGCTTTGGAAATTTTTTTCATTTTCCGTTAGTTTTTGTAATCTGTGGGAATTCGCTTACAACTCCCCGTCTTCACGGTAGCGACTGGGTCTCTACGCGTTGGTTACCCGTTTTCTGTCTCAACATGCATTTGAAATACGATACTGGAGGGTAAACAGATTTTCGGAGTCATTTGGGGGCTCCATATGGACGTATTAAGCCGGTAATGTCTGCCGGACTTAGACGGACGCGAAGTTTACGGTGTCAAATCGGGAAGGACCGATCAGATCAATATATTCCAGTTTTATTGGTAGCCACGCTCATTGCATATGCAGTAGTTTGAATAGTATTTGACGGGCTTTGCGGCATTTTCGGTCTCTCCTTGTTATGATGGCGTTTATGCGAGACTCAAACTCAACTCAGCTTGCTAAGGAAACATGAACCTGAGCCTCTGGACACTATCTGCAGCGCAAGACGGTGGGACGTTTACAGACAACTCGATAGTTCATTCGTTGAAAGTGACCGGGTCCACCATTATCCCGACGGCTCAGTGCTGACTTGGACGTAAACTCCTTAATTTTGGTGCGACCACTCTGCCTAAAACAGCTGTTTAACGCGATTCGCTTCGAGCTCGGGTGCCAGCTAGTAAGAAGTATCGTAAAGGCCGCATTAAGAAGTAGCAATTGCAGTCTGCTCTTCGTTTTTGGTGGGGAGCGGAATTATCCTGTCAGTCTGCTAACTTTCACGCTCCAGCTTTGAGCATGTCTTAATCCTTTTAAACGCATTAGATGATTAAGAGGAAGAGTTACTCGAGGGGCTTGCGTCCGCCAGGCAAAGGTAAGACGGATTCAGTCAATGAAACTTGAGGAAAAGTGCAAGTTATTAATGTTTAAGCACATTACAGTGCATAATTATGTCAGAGTTCATTCTGAAGGTTTGTACTGTTGATAACATCATAATGTTGATGGGTATAGCCTTCCAATGCCCCACTATCCTTTGTGAGGAGGACAATGTGCGCTTATGCAGGCTCTTCCGGAGGTTCAAATAGTGAACTGCAGGTTGCCCGTCATAACGGATTTGAGAGAGTCATCAATGCCTGGACAGAACTCTACTCCGTGCGTCCTACGAAATGCTTGTATTGGGCCCGCAAGTTGGTGCTCCCAGGCTGTCACGACATAAAAAGGACAATGTTAGGGGGCGCTCACCGATCGTTCATACGGAACTGACTCGTTCCGTTGTGCCTTAAGGGCTCTCTCTCGAGCCCAACCAGCAGCCGCGCAGCGGCGCATGATATATAGGGAGAATGATATTACCGACAAAGACAAGGGAGACTGGAATGGCCATTTCTGGCTTATTAGCCGTCGTCAGCCAGCCATACTCAAGCCCGAAGTGTGGAACACACGAGCCTCGAACTCGCGACCTGTTGGTTTAGAAGTCAACGCCTCTACTCACCGGGCCACGATGATCGATGATCGGTGAGCGCCCCCTAACATTGTATATTCCCGATCGAAAACCGACAGAGCAACGGGCTCGTGGCCCGGTGAGTAGAGGCGTTGACTTCTAAACCAACAGGTCGCGAGTTCGAGGCTCGGGTGTTCCACACTTCGGGCTTGGGTATGGCTGGCTGACGACGGCTAATAAGCCAGAAATGGCCATTCCTGTCTCCCTTGTCTTTGTCGGTAATATCATTCTGCTCATAAAAAGGACACCTTTGATACTGACTGTAACAGAGTTTTGGTGTGAGCTCTGAGTGAACCGAATGGCTCACGCTAAAAATCTAGTTCGTGGACACAAAACCAATCGAGGGGACATTTCGGCCTCTAGGCCTACCAGACGCCACTCCCATACCGGACTGGCCGGACCCTAAAATAACCGAACATGACTACGAGTTGTAATAGGCGACAGGGCCAAAACACCTTTTAAGAAAGTAGCGGAGATCGAATAAAATCTGCACACATGTATTCATCAGAAGCAATAATTATAATCTGTAAGACAGTCAAGCTTCGACCAGCAGCGACGTGGATCGCACCTTTGTGCGAATGCCGTAGCAGCCATATTAAGAAGGAACAACTAAGTCTGACTTTAGGTCCACCAGTCAGTCAACCCATACGCATGACGGTTCGACCGTTGATTTTGACGATGTCCACTAAGTGCTTCACAGCAGGCTGGAAGCGAACGTAATGACCTGCTCGTGGATTAGTTTACAGTGATGGCGGACTTGCGAAGTCTCTACCGCGCCCCGTCCTCCCCCTGTCATGACAAAGTTAAGATCGGAGACGGGATAGGACGCAGGTGGTTGACACGGCAAAATACCGCACCTAAGCATACTCACACTTTCTGTGGTCCACCAAAAACACCTGACCAAGATTTTAATGCAATAACAAGAGAATAAGGGCAGCTCTCACGACGTGGGCCTTTATGCCACTACACTCCACCATGCACTACCTGGCCACAGTCAACGCGTAATCGGGATTTGCGTATAACATAACGCTTGCGGCACAGATCCTACTTGCAGCTCAGAAGCCACATGGAGAAGTACGGAAGAACAGGTTACTCACTTAGGTGAGCGGTGTCGGCGTTGGGTAGATAGGGGGGGGGGTGCGTGTGCGATCCAGGCGTCGGTGGAGAGAACGCGTGGTGATGTGGTCAAGCCTGCAGGTAAATCACCAAAGATTTTCATGGGGACGTATGTGGAAAAATAGGCCCATGCGGTGAGTGAACGTGCGTAGGCAGTGTGGACAGTGGAGGCGGACGCGGCGACTGTGTGTCGGGACCCCAGACGCTGATTCATTAGTCTCCGTTCAATGGATCCGTTAGTGACCGACCACACTGATGCGTGAGGTGAGGGCGCGGTGGCAGCGGGGATTCACACTGTGTGTGTGAATGGGATGACTGGGCAACACCATGAACACAATATGTATATCCAGCGGGAGCGCAGGCGCATCTACCGGCAGGGAACCAGGTGCCAGAGAACTTCCAACGCACACCAGGTTGCGAGGGCCATGGTTTGCTAAATCATGGCATAGCGGACACACAATCCTTAGGACCCAGAAGGATGAGAAAACACATACACGCTGTACTAGCCGATAGTTCAACCGTCGATTTCGACGATTTCCACCGTGTGCCCCACGACAGATGTTGGGAGTAGGGACGGTGACTTGCGCAGGGGTTTATAGTGCCAGTAGACTTGCGCTGCATCTACCACAGTCTCTCTTTCCCCCCGCCTGAGCCCGGTGTCAAGACGGAGTCAAGAAGACCGAAGACAAGGGAGGCCGCAGGTGGATGGCTCGGACGGATCCTCACCTTGGCGTCCCACCACAGCCCCTGGTCCACACAACAAATGACCGGGATTTTGACCGCCAAAACAGCAGGGTGATGGCAGTGGTCCTAGTTGTGCGACGACTGCCGACAACAGGGTTTGCCAGCGCATCCCGTAAATGTTGACATTTGTCATCGCGCAAAGTTAACGCCTGCCAGAATCCGATGTGGTTCCCGTGTTGGTCCAGCGAATCTAACACGTGGCCCATTAGGGGGGCACACACTGTACTAACCACGAGGTCTGGGACCGCCCTGCCAATAGAGGAACATCCTCCATACGTATTCATATTAGAAGTGTATCAGAAGACTGATGTTACAGAGATGTCAGGGTAACAATCGGGAGATGGCACCCAAAAAATCCGCCTTACCAAAACAGCCTGTCTTATGGGACAGGTGGTAATAGGGGTTTTATGGGCGGTGGCTGGTCGGGATGTACGATACTAGCCGACGGAAAGCCTTATTTGAACAGGTGAATGATCGACGTTGGCCCGCTTTACGTTCCGTTATTACAAAATGGGTCGCCAAAGTCAGTATAGTGGTAACGGACGAGTGGAAGGCGTATAATCGTGTTCCCTCAGAAGATTATCTACGTTCCTCTGTTAACTTCTCAACGAACTTCAAGGACCCTACCACCGGACGGTACACCAATGCCATTGAGGCATACTGGAGTAGACCGAAAAGGAAACTGCACTAGGGAGGCCCTGTATGTGGTCGAGCTGTGTGGGCTCACATATAGGAAGTACAGTATCGTCTTTGGTTTGGCCTCAATGCCATGTCTTTGGCAGATGCCCGGGAACTGTTCATGTCCCATGTTGTACAGACTTATCCTATTAAGTGTTTTTTTGTAATAAACTGCTACAATGCGAATGTATGCCATTTATTCAGGTGTACGTGTGTAACAATGGGGAAGGTTGGGTAACAATGACCATCGCCCATGTAACCTGCTGCGATGTTCTTTCGGCCAGCCCATGCTAGGCCGTCGCGGAAAGTCCAAGTAGTGCGTGAAAGTAGGCCTGCAACCGCTGATATAGCCTGAAGACGTTTCAGTTCACTGTTAAAGATATTCCTTCTAGGTAACGGATTTCTTGGGTGCCATCTCCCGATTGTTACAGAGATGTCAGGTAGTGCATTTGTCTCAGTGAAAGCCTTCACCTTCTTGAAAGTTTGTAAAAGATCTTTTTTCTTGAAATTTACAGGAGACTCACAGTCCCTCGAAAAAATTAACATGGCAGAACAAGCTCTTCGTGAAAGCGAAAGAAAGCTGAAAGTATCTATGGACGCCTTCCTGAGGTCTGAGGTAAAGCCGCTGTCTACAATTTTGCTAGTGTGGCAGACTACTGAATTGAAGTCAGGTGTCAGGAAGGTGGAGGAAATGATGAGTTGAGTAACCTTTTGCGGCGCTTTCAACACGGGCGTTAGTCACACGTTCACACTAGCGCTTCACTGTCTTTCATACACTGCCTTCAAACCACAGGCATTTTGGAGTACTGAACCATATTCCGTTTTTATGAAGTCGCGCAAGCACTGCCATATTTAATGCAGTGTTAAACTACCATCTCACCTCCACAGCGAAGGCATATAAACAGGCAATAAGATGATCATTAGATCAGTTTATTGCTTGGGATTCCACCCATCCACTTTAATTATGTTTTGCACGTCTGTAGTCTACCACCAGGATGCTTCAAACGTAGAGCAGAAATATGAAGAAGTTAATATGAGGACTGTTCATGAAGATCTCTTTGTCCCTCCAGGTGTCAGTTTAGCTCTTAAGAACAGCGGCCTCTAATATGAGCCTCTACTTTTACACACCTATCTTAATTTGTAGCCCGAGAGAATCACTATCTTGCAGAAAGCGGCAGAAATAGAATGCGAATATTATAGAAGAGCAGCAGAGGCATTCCAGGAGCTGCAGAACACACTAAACGAAATGTGAGTTTATAGTTTTTTCTTTTATTTAGGCTGAGATTTAAGTGCTCCAGGGTCTGCCAAAAACTTCGGAAGAAAAACGTAGTATAGCCCAGGCAAGTCGTGAAAAGGCCCATTGGTCGGCCACTTTCGTATTTTCACCGTCAATTCGGGAAGTTTAGTAGTAAAGAGCATGCCATTTGTCAGTCCAGTATGCCCTCTTGATTCGGGCCCCAACTTTAACATCAGAACGCCCTGACGCTTGATGGGCACGCGCGATTTTGAGCTGAGTTTTGCTTATGCAGTCGCCATGGAAACTGGTTCTTATGCGTCAAATGTTGAGTCAGTACGTTGGCTGCTAGGTGAGCTTACCGACCTGAGCAGACCCATAACAGTCAGCACACTTGCTATTTTCGGTGAACTAGGTAGTCTACACACGGTTTAATGTTTCTGACTGTCACCTGACGACTCTAGCACAACTCTAACACACACTTGCTGTCATGTTTGCGGTACTCTTCCATCGATTGCTTTTGCAGGCGCTTCTATTTCAACCTATCAGGGTTTTTTTTCGATCTAGTTGGAAGCATAACTAAATGGAAAAATCGACGCTTCCGGTTCTCAGCAATAGATAGGTTATGCATATGTTTTCATGTGCACAAGAGAATTTTACTGTCTTCTAGCATCACATGGATCTCAAGCTACGTGTGCGGTCCGCTGGGTTGTTTTTCCCGAATAATTGGGCATTAAATCCTGCTCCTCTCACCACTAGGCCTTGTTTAAATAGAAATCAGGTGGGACGCTCTCAGATATGCATTTGTGGAAGGTGTTTTACGGGTTTGTTTAAACTGTTTATTTCGACCGAGAAGATAGTTCATTCAGTCCAATGTTCTTCGCATCTGAAGTTATAACAGTCGGGGCCGTGCTACATGTCTGGTTCTCTCACTGGCGGTGATTGCACAATGGTAGAGGGGCGATCGCTGATCGTTTTTACGGAACTCACTCGTCCCGTCGTGCCTTACGGGCTCTCTCTTGAGCCCAGTCAGCAGCCGCACAGCGGCGCATGGTATAAGCAGAATGTTATTACCGACAAAGACAAGGGAGTCTGGAATGGCCGTTTATGGCTAATCAGCCATCGTCAGCCAGTCATACCCAACCCCGGAGTGTGGAACACCTGGGGCTCGATCCCGCGACCTGTTGGTTAGAAGTCCAACGCCTCTAGCTACTGAGCCTCGGATGATTGCACAGTTATCGGCGAGCAGGAGTTTACATATCCGATCCTCAGAGGGTTTTGTAGAAGTCTGTGCCCTTGGAATGCCGAAGAGCCTGCTTTTCACTCGATAGCGGATACCGACGTTGGAGCTTTCATCCTAGCAAGTATGCATCACATTACGAAGGGCGTGTCATAAATTTCTTCTCGGATGGAAACCCGACTCTACAAGAGGTCACATGGGAATGGCCGTAGTGAAGGGATATTTGGTCGTTGGTATTTTTGGTTTTAACTTGAATAGCTCTTTTTGCTAAGACATAAGAGCACGGTCTTCTGGTGATATGTTTTCACACGCCGATGGTCATCAGCGGCACTAATCGGTCAGCTCGGGTCCCAGCTCTTCAGCAGGCCAGAAGTGTAGTCGCGTTGTGAGATCGCATACGCAGCTCCAAACGGGTTTTTAGTGCTTGATGTCTCATCGGCTGCATTGATTTACGACACATTTTAAAACTGGTTTTGAAGTTAAACACAAATTTTTATGAAATTTTACCTAGAACTCTCTTATCCAGGCAGAGAGTCAGCAGTCGCGAGTCGAGGAGAAGTTGGGATATCGCATGAAATTGGCAGGGTTTAAACTTGCGCAGCATTAACCGGGAATAGTAATGTTCCAATTTTGATGCTTATCTTCTCAAAGATCGCAGCAGCAGTACTGAGAGCAAAATTTGCCCAGCGTACTTTTTATCTGGTATTTTATGAAGGCGGACTACATCCTAACCACTTCCCTACTTTGGCCCACGTGACCCATGTGTTGACAGAGCCAAACTCACATGATGGACTTCCGAATTTGAGTCTCGGAAGCGGACTTCGCACATGAATCCTTGATGGCGTTCAGAGTCCAATTTCGGCTTCACTTTGCATCGAAATCAGGAGGAGTGTACGTGGACAGGGCTTAGCTTAGGGTAGCCGCGGTTGCCCTGGCATGCAGTTAGAAATTAAGGTTCTCCTGGGCGGAGCATCTTGACTGCTTTTTCGCTTCTCTTACGAGCTGGAGACACCTCACAACTAGTCTTTTCTTATCGATCGTCTTGGAGAGCGCAGACACTCAAAAACTTAAGCTGTGCGCTCACAAACACAAGCACAGTTGTGCGCAACTGGCGACAAGGAGTGGGCGTATCCACGATGGTGCGTGGGCTTCCCACGTCTGCGTGCTAACCCGCGCCCGATGCAGCGAAACCTGCGCAGTGAACTTGAAAGGCACGTCTCTCATATGAAGACCCCATTGACGTCGTAATTCGAGTTTGCAGCGACAACATCGGTTATGACTGGCGCAGTTCTCAGCGAAAGGCAAAACATCGTAGAGATGGGGAAAATGAACTCCTTTCCGTAAGCTTATGACGACGGAGCAGAACCAGAAATGTCTTTTTTTCAGAGTTTCCCCTACTCGGAGTCACCACTTCTGACAATTCAATATTCCTCGATGTTGGAGGTACACCGTCGTTTTACTGTTTAAATATTAGTGTTAGTCAAAGTAATCGCTGCCCAGTTCCTTGGGCATTATTTGTGAGGGTCTTACTTTTTAAAGTGCAAAATAACTGGTTTCTGAACCTCCAGATGGAAGAGGTTGTGCTATTATAATAAGCACACATTGTTCAGACTCCTTTAGTTTATTGCTCATAACGTATGAAAGGATAAACATAAAGCACCTAACGATGCAGCTACTGTGACAGATGTTGTGGTCTTGACCATTAGGTAGCATTCCCATCTGGACTGTATTTCAACGACTACTAACACCTAAGGAGCTTAATGAGATCGAACCAGTTAAATGAAGCTGTGAACTACTTTTATACTTTTGGTGACATTAAGTCCGGATTCGGAGCTGCTGGTTTGTGTTCTGTCGGTACTTTTAATTTCAAAGATCGTGAGTTCTTAAGTTCGTACGCAACAGACAGTTAGTTTACAAATCATGAATGGCTCACTAAACTGACATCATGGGCACTGACTACCAGCCCAAACACGTCTTTCTTCTATTTTGCGCCGCTGCATGCCGCAGCTGTGAGGGTTCCTCCAGCATTCCTCGCGGACTTTCCGATATATACACTCCACTTTTTAATGTTCGGCTTTTTAGTTCACTGAGAAATTAGCGCGCAAACCGAGAGTCAGTCTGACCGTTGTGAAGGCCGGTGCCCGTCATGTGCTCCACAGTCTGCTTGCTTGTGAAGTAGATTATAGTGATAGCAGACTTGCACAGCATCCGCTGTACTCTCTCCTTCCACATTCACCGGGACCCGGTGGCAAGTCAGAGTCAGGACGGCCAAAGGCGGACTCGGCCGCATTGGCTGTGCGCCAGTAGACTGTCCGAACCTGTCTGGTGCTGACCTTGAGCACGGTGGCTGACAGAACTACAAAATGGTAGAGGGGTGCTCACCGATCGAATTATACATACCCGACGGCAACCGACAGGACAAAGAGCCCATGGCTCAGTGGGTAGGGTGTTGGAATTCTAACCAGCAGGTCGTGGGATCGATCCCCAAGTGTTGCACATATCGGGGTTGAGTAAAGCTGGCGGAGGACGGCCAAAAAGCCAGAAATGGTCGCTCTAGTTTTTCTCGTCATTCTGCCTAGAAGTACAAAATTCCGTCGCACGTAGACAAAAATGGAGCAAATCCTTCGGGCAAACCTTTTCAGAGTACATCATGTCGCGGCATAAGATCGGCGAAACACTTGCCTGGGCCTATAACCAGTACATGTGTTGTCAGCATGCTGATTCATTGAACGGGCCACGCGGTAAATGCGCAAAACCAACACCGGGGCTGGATTGGAGTCCGGCAGACATTACTGGGAACCAGCCCCTATAACAAATGCCAGTATTGTGGGTGGGACGACAGGACCAGGTGCAGGTGCACGCCGTGCCAATTAGGATCTGGGCCGTCCATCTTGTTGTATAAGATCCTGGTCGGTGACCGTTGGCATCTAAGGGATGTGATGGCACGTCAAGGTGCGGGTTTTCTCCGCGCCAGCCACGTACGCCCTCTCCTGCCGCTGCTCTTCTTGATCTCATGATACCGGGTCCAGGTTAGGGAGAAAAGAGTGCGGTAAATACTGCGCAAGTATGCAATCACTTCAAACTATCTCACGGGCAAGTTGCCGTCCCTGCCCTCATCTTGTTGTGGTGCGGACGGTAGACATCGTCGGCAACGACGACTGGACTGTCCTATACCACTGACTGCCTATTTACAGCTCTTGACCATGACGCGGTTGTTCTGCTGCAACTGGTGAATTTTGTTTCAAATAGATGTGTTGTTGTCCCGCTAAAATACCCTACCCCTTTAAAGTGCATAGTACAGCCAAGACGGTTGACGGGACTTTTGTTTTTTAAAAAATATTTGCAGATGGCATGCAGATTGTTTGAGGAAATTATCTAGTTCATAAAGAGAAAACCGGACTGTGACGTCATTTCCGGAAATTAGGCAACGCTGACATCGTAGTTATATTCCGAATACGGTTAATTAAGTTGCCAGTCAGGAAGGATCCGTTCGGAAGAGTATGGTGTTCAGAAAAGTTCCATATCTGGCACAGTCCTAACTGCAGAGTAGATGAGTATTATGAAGTTATTTTGATTATCTCTTAACTTACGATTCTTTTGGTATCAGTTAAGCAGTAATCTTTCCTCCTGTTACTTTATCCACAGAAAAGAACGCGCAACCACCAATTCTGAGGTTACAAACGGGATGGAAAGTTATATGGACTCACCACGACAGAACTTCACTTTCAGCACGGTCGTTGGAGGTATGATCTGCTCGTAATTCATGTTGTCTTATTTTTATGCACAAAGATTCGGCTAAATTTCTCGGTAGACAGAAAATTGACTTTGCAGTACGTGACATTAGCGGTGGATTCGACGACAAGTAAGCAGACTCATGCATAAGACGATGCTTCGAAATATGTCCGGACATGGCCATGTATAGAGAAAGTTACTAATTTAGGACAAAAGAAATTCGCGATAATCTGGCCAAAAGATCAAAAATGACCTGACTAAACCTGAAGCATGGAAATCCTAACATACTTAACGTTGATGCATTTGGGGGTGACGTTCAGCGAGCTGTATCCATTTCGGGAGCGAAATTATTGTTCATTAGGCTTTGGGGTGGAATCTGAAACCTTCTGTAGCAGTTGCACGACGACGCGTGATTAATAATCTAGAGGAATTACTGTTTTCCGTTTTAATAAAAGTGTATTTTACACATTACAAATTCAGAATCAGATGGCTGACAAAGATAGGGAGACTCGAATGACCATTTCCGGCCTTTAGCCATCACCAGCAGCCCAGCCATACTTAACTTCAGGTCTTTTACGGCCCTTCAGGCCCGAATCGGCCACCTTTTGGTTAGAAATCCAATGATTTAAGCTTTGAACCACGGGCTCATTGTGCTGTCGGTTCCATCGTCATGAATAACGATGATGAGCGCTGACAGATTGGCTACGAGACCTACTCGTCCCGTTGTCCTTCCTTGTCTTTGTCGACAGTCTTATTCTGCATATAATACTAGTGCTGTGCGATTGTCGGCGGGGCTTTAGATAAAGCCCCAAAAGCATGGGATGATTGAGTCCCGGAACCGATCAGTGAGGGCCGATCTACCAAATATATATGAAGAAGATAGAAGGCTCGTCGGAAAAAAATCGAGTTGTACTCGTATATATATATGCAGATTGGAACGTAGGAATCCCATGAAATATAAGTTTAAGTCAATTATGTTCTCTGGGTTAAGACAAATTGTTATGTAAATTTTCGACGCCAGTTCTCGGGTCGTCAGACGCAGACGGTCGGTGTGAACTGAAGTGGACGCGATGGTACAGAGGCAGAACATTGCCAGCAAGATCTTCTCATTACACTTTAGTTAGTGCTGCTCTTCCTGAGTTTTGCATATTTTACATGCATATAGGGTAATGACAAAGGCGGGAAATCTGCAGCAGTCTTCTTAGTGATATCACCACCTCAGACCAGAGTAGTCTGGAATCTTGATCAGAGTCTGGCTGGCTACTGAGCATTTGATTAGAATTCTCTACCGCCTAAGTTGCGGGGTCACTGAATCAGGGGATATCGGCAACATTCAAAAGTACTTCCGCGTAAAAAACGCTTCTGTTTTTCTGCTACACTTTAAATGACAGTTTTTACTTCTGAAGTTTGCGATTGGCTCAGTAAGTGCACTACAAAGCCCTCAAGCCCCTTGAACTGTTTTGCTATTATCTGTGCGAAATAGCGCAGTCATCCTGTTTTCGCCGTTTTTTTATCCCCGAACTTTTTTTAGCACCACTTGCGGCGCCCCATCTCAATGGCACCCAGGAGCCATGCTGCAGGGCCTTACATACCTTTGAGGCTGAACTCGATGAGGATCTACCCTTCCAAGAAAACGATATAATAAAAATAATTAAAAAGGTTCGTTATTTTACGAACATTGAGCTTGTTTTCATTCTCTGAAAAATTCGTCCTTTTAGTTTCCAAATGAAAAGGCCTGTGAACCACTGTGATTAGGAGAAAATCCTTGCATAAAGATTCTGATAGAGGGTCTCAAACCGGGGAAATTGGCAAACAGGCAGGGACTGTTTTAGCGCGAGCCCCTACTAACAGATAACATTACACTGACTAGCTAACAATTAACAACTAAGCCATTGTTTACACGGCCATTTGAATTGCATTTCCCCTGCCGCAACCGGGTTGTTTTTTCCATTGGGTTGGAACAAAAATTCTCACTAGAATCTGTTCCTGGAAATTTAACGATGAAGGGTATCCTTTGACGACATTTTCTTCGTTGGTATTTACAAAAGGTGTACAAGTTAGGATTTTCACTTTAAACCTTCTTGCGGTGTGCTAGTCAGTTCCTAATTCAACGCCTTTGATCGTTCATAAAAATCGAAAGTCGTACAAGTTTTCTAGAGCATATGCTTTTGTTAATGCTTTATTAGCCTTGCGGTTAAACATGCTTCTAGCTCTGTAAAACACAAATGACGAGTCCTGTTAAAGTCAAGACCTTTTGGAACAATTCATTTTACACCAAAGCGCTAAAATCAACACAACTGCTGCTGACGAACTACTTGTGGACCCTGACAGGCCGTTGTTACTTATGATTTATGGGCGTTTGAACAGAGTGAAGAAATAAACTACTTGTTATAGTCCGGCGGGTTGATGGAAGAGAAGGCAAGCGTGTTGTGGGACAACCACTTTATTCTCACAGACTACGAACGCGGCTTCCAACTCGTCAAAAAGACGCCTTATCTAGTCGGGGCCCTGAGCGATCTGGAAAATCCCAGCCTGTGGCTTGCCAGTCGTGGATTAGCCGTTGCGTGCGCGAGGATCCCCTCGCGGCCATCGACAGGGCAGCACATACGAGCAAAGTCACCACACATGCTCGGTGCTACAGTGCACGCTGGTTGGCTGCCTAATTTCACACGCGTTCCACACTGCCAACTTGTCCTGCCGTTCCGCGTGTGGTCAAGCCTACATTTCATCTTATGCTGTGACTCCACACCGCTTACGCTCACTGCAACACTTCTTTCGCGCAAATCCTATCAAATCAATTAGCTAAAACTGAGCTTTTGGAAATCTTATTGGAAATAAAAGAGGCCATTGACCTGACGACATGACGTTTTCATGCGCGTTTTAACCCCTATCTTAGACCTGTCTGTTTTGGTCATTCTAATGGCTAAACGCGACCTACATTTACCTCACTTACTTAAGTCTAAAAGAAATTACGTTTTTGGTCTGTTTTTCATCAAATAATCTCACTTATCCTGACGCCTTACTGTAAGTTTCAGTGCGCGCTAGTTTGCCCAGACCAGCAACTGTCGATTTTCCATCATCAGCCCTTTTTATCATTTTTCTGATTGCAGATTGACGATGATTGGTACTTCGGCGAACTGAATGGCCGAACAGGCCACTTTCCCGCCAACTTTGTGGAAGTTATTGTTCCTCTGCCTTGAATTTCTACCACCTCGATGCTATCCAGGAATTCAACGTCCAAATACTTTGTTACTGCCCATTTCGTCTTAAAACCCGTGAGATTATGTATATTGCTGCAACGGAACCCTGAGGAACTTACTTATAACCTTTTCATTTTTTAAAAAGAGAGTATTTTTACTTCTGTTTCAGTTTCAGTTTGTTTGAGGGAAACGTAAGTGTTAAACCCGTGAACTCTCTATTTGTTACAAGGAAGCGAATTATATAAAAAATTTGAAAATGGAAACATTTAACAACTGCAGAAGATATTTTCAAATTGGCAAAGTTTTCGAAACCAGACAGATAAACGAATTGTTCCAAGTGTTAAAAATATTAACCTTACTAAATGTGCTGCATAGTAGTCTGTCTATGAATAATTGGTGCGATCTCAATTTCGGAGGGAGACGACTTGAATGCTAACACTCGCATTCAACGGTCTTGGGGACAATAATAAAAGCAAACGCTACTGAAATACAGGCAGTAATATAACAACAGTGATAAACTGTTCGAACGAAATGCTAAAACGATATCGGTCAGGTGACATTATGACGTTTAGTGGTACACTGGTCCAACTTGCGCTTAAATGTCTCGACGAAGGTTGACATGCTCTGCAGGCAGATCATTCCAAACCTCGATCACTCTGTTTGAAAAGAAGAACTTCCAAATGTCAAGCCTGGCTTCAGTCACACGTAGTTTAGTGGATGACCTCGGAGGTTCGTTGTAGTTGGTAACCCAAAGAAATCAGCAGGTAAGAGACAGCAGTCCTGGCCGCGCATTATACGGAATATTTGTATAACGTCACTTCTTAGCTGTCTGCAACTCACTGCAAAATGGTCAAGATTGGATGGTCGGATTTCGTAGGGTAGTGGACCCTGCTCACTAATGAGGTTGGTTGCCCGCTTTGGAACTTTCCGAAGGATGCTAGGATCTTTAAAGGTCCAGGGTTTTCCACGCCTGAATAGCGAACTCTAACTGTGGCCCTACAAATGTCCGAAAGACTTTAACGAAGCAGTCCTCATCGAAGGTAGAGAAAGCTCTCTTGACGAGATAAAGGACTGACATCGCGGACTTGGCTACCTTGGAGAAGTGGAGCGATGGTTTAAGAGAAGCCGTTACCCACACCCAAATCTTTCTGCGCGTCCTCCTCCTGCAGTGGTACGCCATTTAGGTTGTAAACCCTCCGACCCAGAGATCGAGTCCTGCCGACTCGCAAAACATTGCACTTAGTCACATTAAACGTCAAAAGCCAGTCCTATGAACATTTCTGTAGTCGGGTCAGGTCTGCCTGCAAGCGTTCTTCATCAAATTCAGTTCGGATGACGCTCCAAAGTTGAACATCATCAGCGAACATCGCGACATCACAGTTCAGTTCACTGACGCAGTCGTAGATGTATATAATGAATAGGATCGGGCCAACGACGGAGCATTGAGGAATACCGCTTTCAACCGCTACCTCTGCCGACTGCCTGTCACCGATGTGAACACTTTGAGAACAACCGATCAAGAAGCTTTGGATCCACCTCGGGAGATTACCCCTAATGCCTGTTCAGCTTAATTAGTACAGGAGGCGCGGATGTGGTACACTATCGAATGCTTTCTTAAAGTCAACGTAGACTGCGTGCACTGCATTGCCGCCAGCGACTGCCCGGGTCCAACGATCTAAACAATAAAGTAGGTTTGTCACGCATGATCTGCCTCTACGAAATCCGTGCCGGGCATCGAATAGCAGATTACGCTCTTCTAGGAAGCGCAGTATTTCTCGCTTAATTATTTTTACCATAATGTTGCAGCAAATTGAAGGGAGGCTGATTGGTCTGTGGTTGTCTGCTAAGACGTTGTTGCCGCCTTTATAAATTGGTGTGATCCGTGCAGATTTCCAATCGACGGGCAAATAGCCTTCCTCGAACGAAGCTTGCAAGAGCATGGACAGTGGTCTAAATAGTTCTCCAACGAGCTCCTTCAACAATTTGGGCGGCACGTTATCCGGCCCAGGTGATTTAGACTCATTCAGCGTCAACTGTTCTTTGCAAACAACAGCTTCGGCGACAGGGACAAACTCAATCGTTGGCCCGTCCACTATGCCGCAGTCGGGAGGAAGAATTGCGCTTTCCTTCATAGAGATGTACTTAAAAAATTGTGAAAGGTTTTCTGCTTTTGCTCCGTCTTCACTGAGTTCTAGGTCGTCACTAGCTTTCAGTAATGGGATTCGATCCTCATTTCGTGCGCTTCTTCTTATATAACCATAGAATAACTTCGGATTTTATGCGGCCCGATTCAGTAGGTATTTCTTGAACGTACGCCGCGTCCCGAGGATTAGCCTCTTAACTAGGTTCCTCTGTGCCTTGTATGCATTTATCGACACAGAGCTCCTATCCGAGAGAAATTTCCTCCATAACCTCCGCTTTTTATTTACATCTTTTTTTAAAGCTTGTGCTAGCCACGGGGGTGTGCTGTTCAGTTTCTTCCGTGAAATAGGACAGTGGTCTCTGAGGAGAACGTGCACTAACTCATTAAACCAGCCCCAATCCTTGATTATGTCAGCGGAAGAAGCTGATTCCCAGTTTATGGTGTGTAGTTCAGCTTTCATTTGGGCAAAGTCACCGCCCCAAATGTTCCTTCTAACCCTGGTGGCCTGTTCGGGCAGAGAAAAAGTGGAGTACTCCCACAACAGTATGACGTGGTCGCTTCGACCTAGCGGAGGTAGACTTTGCACATCATCAATGCTGTCCAGCGACCTTGCGAGGATCAGACCCAGACAGTTTGATTGTTGCCCTTCGCGCACCCTCGTCGAAAAAGAGACGTGGGGAGTGAGAAAAAACCTAAGCGTCATGTCCAGCAAACGTCGGCCGAAAGCATGGTCTGGGCCAGATGCATAAGCTGAACTCCAGTCGATAAGAGGTGCGTTGATGTCCCCCATGATTAAGACTTCGGACCAGAGAGAGAGAATCTCTCCAGGTCCTCAATCAGACGGGCGTCTGCCGCGGGATCATTTCTCGGCGGTCAGTAGACCGTCAGGACGTCAGGGCTCGATGAACCAGGTGCTTTTATAGTTAGCCAAATTGCCTCAGAAGTACACGCAAGTTTAGAAGATGAAGATGCGATTGCTGGAACAAGAAATTTATTGGCCTGACGTTTTAGATTCACACTCGAATCCATCATCAGAGCAAAGGTTTCCCACCGTCGAGTCGATCGGAGCGCTTCGCGCCCAAAAAGATTACTGATAGAAGCGAACAGGCGAGTTCCAGGTACATCTCTCTAACTTCAACTGTGAACTGTCGCTACTGCTAACCTAATGCTAACATCCGCTGTCAAAATCGAACTATAATGCTGTTCGTCTGCAAATCAGTAGTATTCGCCCTGGGCTAACCGGTGTACGACATCGCCTTATGTATTGTATTCTTTGCCATTTTCCACGATAGGCATTATTGGGCCTAAAAATATGGATTTATATCTTATTTTTGCTCCTTCCGGTTTTAACCCACTTATCATCGCCTTTATTAAAGGCCTACCGACGCCGAGTATTACTTGAGTAGAATTTCCCAGCTCCGTGTAGACAGGAATACCTTCCGTCTTTAACAGATTAATACAGTCTAAGACTGTCAGCTGCGTACAGTTTGGAAAAAGAACTTAGGAAGAAGAAGACTGATAGGGAACCGAAACCATTTGTTCATTTGTCTGAAGGTGTTGGTGGCTTCTTGCGATAATCACTCACCCCATCGCACGGTCAGCTATTGCTCGTATATACACGTTCTGAACAGGTGTTCAGTCCGGCCTGTGTGATTAAAATGAGCTTAGACACGCGATAAAATACACTACGTCTGACCCCTTTTTGGAATCCTTGATTTTCATGACTTTCTAAGCATAGTAGCTGTGGATGGGTGGGCAATTCCAACACGTTGTCCCGTAGCAATCCGTTTGTCGCCCTTGAGACGTCCTTTATGCATCGTAGAGCATATTATATCCTTGATGGCGTTTCTGGTGAGGTATCCCCTCGACAAACATGTAGGCATCGACTTATAAACGCCTTCATGTAGCCATTTTCCATAAATATGTCGCGCAGGCATCGGGCCATATGTGCTTTTTATTCCGGGTTGTTTCAGAGAGTCTGTGCTCGTCTGACGAGTGTTTTCAGACAGTTTCGTCCATGAGTCAATGGATCGTTTCTGTGAGAACTGAAAAGCCGCGCGGTGTTCATTGCCTTCCTGTTAACTGTTTTCTCTATTTCGCCGTTGGTTTTTCGTTTGACGAATACACCAATGGAGGGCACCTGGCGCTCCTTTTCTTTTTGAGCAGATTATGGAAATTCTGTAGTACATTCTACTTGACGACGAAATGTCGGCACCTGCCGGATGACGACGGAATTCTTTAGCTCCTGCATGGCTTGTTCTGTCACTGGCCCGGAGATTGAGGCGCCCATCGGAGTCCCGATGACCTCCTCGTGGGTTTTTTTCCCCAAAGGCAAAATTCGAACAGCATTATGAGACGCTGTCTGTCCCATTTCCGCGTTCAGAATGCTTTGCCCGTCTCTCTTCACTTTCCTCATAGCTTTGTGGGAATATAAACAAACATAAACACTTCTGATTTTCCATGTTAATGTTTCTCACTTGTATCACGATACTGAGGTTTGACAGCCGGAGGATGACTGTGGAAAGCATTGGCTTGCTGAGGACTTGTATAAGCACCAAGACGCTAGGCGTAAGCGACTACTTGTTACGTTGTCTATGTAAGTCCGCACTCATTCAGAGAGTGTTACAGTCCTTAATTAATTTTTGGCACAGACAAACTTACGAGTGCTCGCGTATAAGGTGCAAAATGAGAGCAGAAAATTCGAGAAAAGAAACACCGACTTTCCTGAAAATTTTCACAGAGCAACGTGTACACACCGTCCTTTTAGCACGAGGAGGTACAGACACGGGCAGATGCAGAAAAAGTGATGTTGGGCGTGATTTTCTTCCAAATCCTAGTAGGAGTCAGTCCGGCAACA